ACCATTCATTCATTTCCCATACACTGCCATAAGGAACGGTCCTGAGCCACCCGTACTCGTATACACTCTCTGCAATGCATCTGAGATCGTCACTCTATCTAATGGAGGTTGTGAGCGAAAGGACAGAACATACCAGCATGGTATGGAAACATGGTGTTTTTAGAAGAATAATATAATTATATAAAATATATAGGTACAGAACAAACCAAGGAAGCAATAAAGCGAACGTAAACAAAAAATAAACTGACAGTAACTTCAAATCACAAACAAAAACTTCTTTTTAATAAAATTAAAAAAGAAACTAAAAAGGTGCGTCGTGCACAGTCGTTCTACACGTCCTTTAAGACATCATTTTTAGATTTATTTATGTATCGGCAATTTTGGGCGAGATTAAAATAGTCATCATGACTTAATAGAGTAGACAGACAGATAGATAGATAAACTTTTTATTTGAGCCATTTATGACACACGTAAATTTACAAATAAGTTTATACAATTAAATTAAGTTTCACCAAGTGTGTCGCAGTGACCCAAATAGGCTACAACTCAATGATGGTTTTGCTTAAAAGCAAAGCACTGATTTTCAGCTGCAGCCTGAAGTAAGGCTACACGGACGCGTGCAACAAACCCAGAGTGTAACCTATGTAACCAATTTAATAGCCAAAGATAAAATTGTATTATATAGGTACATACTTATATAAATGATGCATAAGTACCTCGTTGACTACACCATAAGTCAATAATTCAAATCTAACGTATATCAAATTAAAAAAAAAAAAAACTATATATAGACTAAACAAATGTAAGATATGACGATACGCTCGCCCATTCCCACGTTGAATTCAAATACGCTTGACGAAATTCATATTTCGTTTTCACCACAATATTAAAAATAAAGTAATAAAAATATTTTTTATTTAAGTATTCTTAATTTATGAGCATTTTTGAATATTCGTTTTCTTTTATTAATCAGTGGGCGGTGGGGGGAATGGTATTGTTAGTAATGGAGACTGAGAATCCTACTGCTAGCAATATACCCAACCAGGTCGACCTCCTCGCGGTTCCCTCTGGAAACTATCATGGTTAATTCCTGATGAATTCATCATGATAGGCTAACTGGCCTGTTTTCATTCTCATCTATCACCCATCACTGGTGCTCCGCCAGCGTATCCCGTTAGTGCAGGCGGGGTTACCATACCATTTTCACTCATCAAAAAAAAATCTGTGGGCGGTATGTTCAGTTCGGAATTTGATTTGAGTTGAGAACAACAGGCGAGAAAGTCAGCTGTTGCTTTTTCTTACAAATGATGAGTTTACAAAAAAAAATGGTATTAACAGTCGCAAATGACCCTAACTACTTCATGAGTGATTACAGTAGTGCATATACTTATATTTATTTCAATTATTATTTAATTAAATCCTATTCCAGCAATTTATAGATACTAACTGAAGATGTTTAGCCCTTAAGGCGCTATAAAGTAACAAACAAACAAACTAGCTTTCACATTTAACCCTTCTTTGCATAACGGTGGAAATTTCCATCATAACATTGAATGCCCGAAAATTATATAAAAGAACAAGTTCACTTTAAGTTGATCGTGTCTGGATAACTTTTTAATGTCAATTGCAGAAAAAAAACATAGCTATCAAATGTATATTTTTAACCATTTTACCAATAAAAAAAATAATGCAAAGAAGGGTTAAAAACGAGTTAACGGCCCACCTGATAGAAAATGCTGACTGATGCCTATAAACATGAACTATATATGTATATATAAATCAACTATAGACATCAGAGTTAATATTCATTTTACAGTTAAAGTCACTATATATTTGCATACTAAAATTTCCTTATTTATTTCACGAAAATATAGTCTTGGAAAAATAATGAAAAACCAGTGGGTTGTTAATAAAGGAGACACCGCCCTAATAACAACAAATGTCAAATGGGGGTCACGCAAATTAATCTAGTTACTTACGTTGATGTATTTTTAGACGTGTGTTATTATGTATGGTGATTTCAAAATTACCAGTGGAACAGAATATTTCACCAATATAAATAAACAAAACCAAATATAAATTTCTTTTTTCTTTTTTTTTTTTCATTTAAGAGTTTCCTCTTGTCGGTGCAACTAATTCATGCATCTTCTTCCAGCCAGCTCTATCCCAGGCCATATCCTTTATCCCCCTATACGACATGACACCTAGTGTTTCCTCTATCTGTCCCATGTAGTTGTTCCTCGGTCTTCCTCTTCCTCTTTTGCCCTCTATTTTTCCTTCTACTAAGCTCTTAAAAAACTCGTCATATCGTATAAGGTGGCCCAGCATTTTGCCTCTTCTATTCTCTTTAAATCTTTAAATTTCTTGTCAATACATAAATAATTCTAGCATCTTCCAGCATAGAAAATACTTCTAAAATGTTTATAAAATAAAATAAAAATATATTTTAATATTTTCTAAACAAAAGTCTATAAAAAAATATATTTTGATGCAAAAAGACAAATCATTGGACTGAAAACGAGGATCGATCAGGAAAAAGGACAAGTATAGGGAGCATTTTTATATCACGAACCCAGAAAAACAAGGCCACATCGAATTAAGGTATAGACTAAACTCGAATTCTACGCATCCTAATTTTTTTCTCTACATACATACATACCATACATATCTGTCACGCCTATCTCCCATTAGGGTAGGCAGAAACAATGGAACACCAAATGCTTCGATTCAAACAAACCTCTTTCGCTTCTTCCACACTCATCAATCTTTTCATACACGCTCGCCGGTTACGGGTACTTTTAATTTGGCCCTTCTTCAACGCGTCGCCTATTTGGTCAACATACGTCCGTCTAGGGCGGCCCCTACCGACATCTGCATTTTTTTCTTTTTTTCTTAATTTAAAATAGTCAAGTTATTGTGTTGTTAAGTAGTTGTGTCGTGTTTATTATTAACGTGATGCCTAAAAATGTTTTAAAATGCGTAAACTTAGATTAAGGGATCTTATATATTGAAACATAAATAACCTTAAACATATAAATAAGTGACTGAGTGAGGTTTATATTCAGCAGTGGACAGATAATGGCTGAGATGGTGATGATGATGATGCATAAATAAAAAAATATATATATTTTGGTCCACAGATTAACTGTGTAACTGTCTTGTCAAAAAAAAATTAAAAAATATATTGCTAATGTTATGTCGATTGATGGAATCTAACAGTACGTAATACTTGTAAATCTGTTCAAGTTATGATGAAATAATATCCATAGTACTGTTTATGTTTACAGGCGACGGTAACCACTTTCCATCAAGTGGGCCGTCTCCTTGTTTTAAAGAGAGAGAAAAAATTATTTAGTGACATACATAGACACTACACAGTCATCCAAACACAACTGCTTCACGGTAGAAACACGAATGGGACAGAGGTACCCAAGCAATCGACTTTTGTACAAAGTCTCGTTCTGGTAAGCGCAACAATGAAATTAAATAACAAGCAACAATAACACAAATATTAGTGTTTTTTTTTTTAATGGGTGATAATGGAATGGTTACTTCACCCGCGCTATCGGTATACACCGGCGGGGCACCAGTGAAAAATGATAGGTGGGGATAAAGCAGGTCAGTTCAATATACAGGCATATATGGATAGAAAATATGAATCTTAAATTTATCGGTGAAGTGTGGTACAAGTAAGCTGAAATCATTCTTATTGTTTTCTATCATTAATATATAAACGTATAATATAATATTTATACATATATATATAAAAATTAATGTCACTTTTCGTTGTAATTTTATAACTCAAGAACGGGCTCACCTATCTAAACCAAATGATTAGGCTTTATTCGGACTATTTAGTAGATGGTTTATGTAAAATCGCTCGAGCGGTTCTTCATTTATCACATTTTTTGTAGCAAATGAATTCAATAAATGGCGGATCATTTTTTTAATGGGGCTGTTTGTGTCAAATTCAAACTTTTTTTAAGATGGGGATTGTACTGTCAAATTGAAACTTTTTTCAGTGTTGACAGGACAGTACAAGCATGTTGTTATGTCATTCATGCGGTCTTTCATTTTTTTTTATTATTTCATTTTATACGTAGCGAAGCACGTACCGAGCTGCTAGTATTAATATATAAAAAAAACTCACATAAATTATGTAAAATCTGAAAATATTACATTCCTTCTTAGGACAGTTATGTCATGACGTCTCATGCTACTCATTATTTTCTTAACTGAACTCATTTTTGTTCCTTACTCGTCCGGCGGGCTTTGTTTGTTTATCTCATCGTGTATCCTTCGCGACCCACGCACACTTGATAAAGTGGTTACACTTTTCATCCACGACGCACTGTCCGTAAATAGAGGTATCGCAAAATGGTATCACATGTATTATTTAATTATATTGATATAGTTGATTGTTATTATTTTAATTTAATTAATTTTGTTTACTTTTTCTATAATTTATTTAATACTTTATTGCACCAAAATTATAGGATTTGTTGAACAATTTTCGATAAGTATAGTGTAGTACAAAAGGCGGTGTTATTGCTAAACAATCACTTCCGGACAACGGTGTGCCAAGTGCCAACCAAGGTGGCGCGTTAAAAAAATAGATTCAGTATACTGCTACAAACATTTAAATGCCCGTATATTAATTATTAGTAACATGTGTTAATTTTCGTTTATACAGAAGTAAATTTGTAAGAGTGGGTTTTCCTATAATTATGAAAATCTATAAATAGTAAAAAATCAAACAGACGACAGATGTTTCCCAAAACAATTTTTTGCCAATTTCTTATGGCACGGCTGAGAGGAAAGCCTATGTTCACCAGAAGACAGATAAAGACTGATATGATGATGAAGATGATGATGCAGAAGGTGATGGTGATGAAGGTGATGATGATAGTGATGATGATGATTAATTATTATTTTAAATCCTGTTTAAATCCATCCCCATTATCGTACATAATTTAATTATAACAAACAATTACACTTACCAATTAATTTAATTATAAATATTTTATTGTGAAATAACAATCCAAAACTGTAGCCTTTAGTTCACATATTTCAAAAACAAAGTTTTTTTTTTTATTTTTAATGTTTATAAACAAGAATTATTTAACGTCCACAAAAAACTAAACAATATAGTTAGCTATTTCCACTATAAATAGTTAGTATTTTCAATCATAACTAATAAAAATTTCACTTATAAACCCAATCTTGTTTTCGATAAATTTCTAAAGTTCGCCAAAGAGAACTGCGACTCTGTAGAGAGACCGAAAGTGGCGTGCACTTGAATCGAACGACGTCGGTAGACTGAACGCAGAAATTGAAGGAAACCCTCGTATCGGAGCACAACTACGTGTATCAAAAAAAAAATATCCTTCGTTTATGTAAACAACTCTCTTCAAAGTGTGTACACGGGAGATCATACTTTATTGAAATTGGAATGGATCTAATAAGAATCTCAATATTGACAGACAAAGCGCAGCTTAAACCCGAATGCCTGGAATTTTGGAAGGAATTTTTCATTAGCATAGTTACGCTAAGAAAGGATTTTAGAGATTTTTTTTTTATTCAACTTAGAATGGCAAACAAGCTGACGGCCCACCTGATGGAAAGTGATAACTGTCGCCTATAGACATGAGCAGTACCATGGACATAACAGAGTATACTGTTTCACCCATGATACCCCCCATGCGTTGCAATTCCTGAGGACTCAGGTGTTATTCATCTGTACCCAGTAAATTCACGCCATATCCCACCCTTCAAACCGAAACACAGCCATGCAAACACAACTGCTTTACGGTTGAAACACGAATGGGACAGAAGTACCCAAGCAATCGACTTTTGTACAGTCTCCCTCTGGTGAAAAGAACAATATGAAAGTTTATAAATTGATTGAAATAGAGTAATCTTTTAGGACACACTGTGAGCTGAATTATGTAATTATGCCACAAAAATCCATTAACATTCTAGTCTCTCTCTCTCTCTCTCTCTCTCTCTCTACAAGTAGGAATAAGAGAAGGACTCTATAGGTGTTTTTTTTAATAATAATAATAATAATAATTTATTTATTTGCTAGAAATGTGGTAATAATAATGGTCTTAAATATAATCTCTCTCTCTCAAATCTTAGGTATATTAATAGCCTAGTAGGATCAATCCATAAATATTGGCAGCCGCGCACATACTAGTGGTAGCAGACTAAACAAATACAAATACAAACTAAACAAAAACAAATACATAACAAGTCAATAATATAACAAATGTCATACAATACTTAATATTATTAATGAATGAATAAGGTATGATGCACTCCTCTATGCTAACGTTATACAATGGCGGAGTACCAGTGTAGAATAAAAAGTCGATAAAATCGAGTCAGTTCACCTATCGTGGCGAATTCAGTAGCAATTAACCACGATGATTCCCATGGGGAACCGCGGGGAGGTCGACCAGACGAGGTATATTGCTACCGATGGAGACTAATTTTCCAATTACTAACATTCCCTCCTCCCTCCCTTTATAGGATAATTACCCTACTATACCATGATTACCTAACTTTCCATAAGGTAAACCGTCAGATGATATGTGTTTCTTAGAAAAAAAACCAACGCATGTTTATTACGATCTAAAAATATACCATAGAGTCTATGACACCATAGATACTCTGTAATATATACACACAATAAAAAAAACTTTTTGTCGGAAAAAGCTCAAACAATTTATAATATAAATAATAAATATTATTATTATAATCTCTTCCTATAAATTATATTTATTACATTGAATTCACTTATTATATTACAAGTACTTAGTAAGTAACCCTGCGGAGTGAGGCCCTGGTGACCTGTAATACAGTATTCTTATACCTATCTCAGGCACCAGTCTCTCACAATTATATTTATAATTTGATTACCTTAATATAAGCATGTCTCATTGTATCTCACTGTGATGAATTGTGAAGAGAAAATAAATCTATTTATTATTATTATTATTAATTTTTCAAGCGTATAAAGTGTAAATGATATTGTATGTTAATTACATTGATGTATAAATAACCTAGATATATAATTAGAGATAGGACCAGAGGGAGACTTTGTACAAAAGTCGATTGCTTGGGTACCTCTGTCCCATTCGTGTTTCTACCGTGAAGCAGTTGTGTTTGCATGGCTGTGTTTCGGTTTGAAGGGTGGAATATGGCAGTGACTTTACTGGGTACAGAGGAATAACACCTGAGTCCTCAGGAATGGCAACGCATGGGGGGTATCATGGGCGAAACAGTATACTCTGTTATGTCCATGGTACTGCTCATGTCTATAGGCGACGATTACCACTTTCCATCAGGTGGGCCATCAGCTTGTTTGCCAATCTAAGAGGTATAAAAAAAAGTAATAAAAAAATATATATTTAAAAATAAAAAAAATTCTTTGAGATCACTGCCAGCTGGTGGGGTGCCTAGGATACTTGCTGCATTTCCACGCTGAATAGCAATGGAAATGCGTTGACCAAAGTATAGGCCATCCTTCTGGTCACCAGAGGTTTCCACCAGCCGGCGTAAATAAACATAAATTATGAAAGTAACAATAATAATTATACAACATGTTTAGGGGGAGAAGGGATTGTTAGTAATGCGGATTATCAGTTCCATTGCTAATAATATACCCTAACAGATCGACCTCCCCGTGGTCTCCTCTGGAAACCATCGTGCTGAATTCCAAGTGTATTCATCACGATGGGCAAACTGACCTGCCTTTCCATCCTCACCTATCATCTATCGCTGGTGCCCCGCCAGCGTATACCGTTAGTGCAGGCGGGGTAACCATTCCTTTATCATCCATTAAAAAAAAATTATGCAACAGGAATTGTTACTATATGACAAATAAAATATATAATAAATTACCGACAAAATACAGTAATCTGACAGACAAAAAATATGAGAATCTTTACAGTTGGCTTATTGAGAAATGTTTGTATTCACTTAAAGACTATTTTAATATAAAATTTTAAGAACAAATTCCAAATTAAATATTTGCACGCTATACGGTTGAATGAGGAGGTCCTGCTTAGGGTTACGGAAAAAAGACAAATTATTAGAACTATTGAGGACAGAAGGGGAAAAATGTTAGGACACTTGATACGACACGACGAACTTATGAACACTATAATAGAAGGTAAAATAGAAGGAAGGAGGGGAAGAGGGAGACCGAGGCATAGTTACATCATGCAGATCAAGGAAGGAGTTGGTGTCGTGTCGTATCAAGAGGTGAAGAGACTCGCTGAAAATCCTAGTAAGTGGCAAGAGCTACATGGACAAGAGCGCAGCTCTTAAATAGAATAGATAGATAGACGGTTAAATGCAGTCTTTTTTTAACATTAAATACTTTTTATTTAATAACCTTTATTAATTATTTTATTTACGTAGTTATTTTTGCCGCGAAAGTGAGACAAATACCATAGACTAAACAACATATTAAACCTGAGCGTAGCTTCCAATTTCTCGCGACGACACCTTCAGATGACCTTATTTGTATTACTAGACTAAGATGCGGCTTTATTTTCGACTAACTTTCAAAATGGAGGTACTCAATTCAGTTGAATCTTTCTTTAAGTTTTTTACCACATAACTCTGTTATAAATAGGGTTAGGTTATTACATAGCAATATCAATATATTTTAGTTGCAATATGTATATACTATATATATTATACATATATATACATTATATATATATAGGGCATCAGTGAGAGATGATAGTGAGAATGAAACAAGCCAGTTAGCCCACTGTAACGAATTCAACAAGTAGAATAAGAAGAAGTATTAGAAGTAGAATTTCGATTATCCGAACATCGATTAACCGAATATTCCATTATCCGGAGTAATTCTTCACGGCTCTAATTAGCGATTTAGAAATGGTAATTAATTAGGTAATTAGGTGTTATGTAATCCATTATCTTTATAGCTTGTAATTTTTTACATCGTATTGTCTATATGGCATATGTAAAACCCTTTACATAATAAAAAAATATTACAATTTAATTGGTTTGGTCATTTGGAGAGGATGGATAAAAGAAGAATTACGAAGGAGATTTATCGAGCAAGAATGAATGGAGATGTCGGTAGGGGCCGCCCTAGACGGACGTATATCGACCAAATAGGCGACGTGCTGAAGAAGGGCCAAATTAAAAGTACCCGTAACCGGCGAGCGTGTATGACAAGATTGATGAATGTGGAAGAAGCGAAAGAGGTTTGTTTGAATCGAAGCATTTGGCGTTCCATTGTTTCTGCCTACCCTAATGGGAGACAGGCGTGACAGATATGTATAATGTATGTATGTACAATTTAATTATGTATTGTTTGATTTGACTTTGAAATCGATAATCCGAATTTACGATTATACGGTTTTATTTGATTAATGTAATCGTGATGCTACTGTAAATATTTTCACTTACACATTTTTATTTCTTTGCATTTCCGAGAAACATGTCATATTGTCGTGGATAGTCTATAAAGCAAATTATTTTATTTATTTATTTATTTATTTATATAGGTTACTTAAATATATCTTAACTAAGGAAAATTAACAGTAAAACACAGTCGACTCCTGCTCTAGGAATCTTAACTGTCCCCAAGGCACCTCTTATAGTAATTCGAATAAATTTGTTTGATACTCAATAAATTAAAGTACAAAAATAATTGTTCTAAGAAGATTAAACAGGTATAATACCTTTTATATAATTATCATGATTTACATATACTTCTATATTAATATTGTAAAGAGAAAATATAGATAAATAGATAGATAGGTACTCTTTATTATTCCCTCCAAATGATTATAATAGTATACTTATTATAGATATCAACAGCTACAAGAAATGATCATAGTGAGAAAACAAAAACAATTATGTTTGTATGTTTGTTTATAATGGCTAAACTAAAAAGCTATTTAATCGATTTTAATAATTCTTACACCAACAAAAAGCTACATTATCAGCGAATAAGATCAAAAGAATTAAAGATCTCTATGAAATTACAATAATGTAACTCAAGGTATCAAAATTTTGTCTATTAAAACATATATATATATATATATATATATATATATATATATATATATATATATATATATATATATATATATTTAGTACCATATATATACTGTTTCATCCATGATACCAGCCATGCGTTGCCATTCCTGAGGACTCAGGTGTTATATATATATTTACCCTTCAAACCGAAACACAGCCATGCAAACACAATATATATATATATATATCTGGTGAATATATATATATATATATATATATATATATATATATATATATATATATATATATATATATATATATATATATATATACATATATATTAATAGTGTGAAAAATAAATTTTTATTTGCTTTTTATACAACAAATTTCGACAATAAACATGCGAAAATAACTTCTTTAATCATCACAAAATTTATATACCTTACAAAATTATAAAAGGAATTATCAATATCGGTACTGAATTGAAACAGCGTGTGTTGAATAGAAAGTAATAAAAATGTAAAAAGAATTACACAAAAATGTTGCATCACAAAGGACGTAAAAGCTATTTCTAAATTAATTCCGTCCCTCTATGTAACACAGTCACTGTGTTACAAATAAATTTCATTTCATTTCATTTTAACAAATAACTAACCCGACCATGAGACAGTCTGATGATATCCAATAAAAGTAGAAATAAAAAATCAATTGACACACATTCAGTGTTTCGATTTATTATTCTCGTAGATTTTATTTTAATTTGCCATGTGGTCCCGGCATATAATAGGCCGCCGCTTCCTTTTCCGTGGGTTTCGTAAGAGGCAACTAAGAAAGGTCGAGGGACGAACATCAGCGTCCCTCTTAAAACATCTCCAAAGCGTAACTGTGGTTGCCAATCCGCCTGCTAACCATACTTAGCAGGCTTATGTTCAGCTCAATTATTTACATTGCTATTAATTACATTTAGATTATGTATCTGTGATAATTTTAACAAAACTTGCAAAATAATTATTTTGCAACAGACCTTTCACACATATACATATATATATTAGTAAGAATATACGCACAGACATATACTCAAACAACATTATAATTCCCTCCATTTTAAAACATTCGGCTCAGAGCCGTAGCTAAACCAAATTTTAAGACCAAAAGAACTTTTTGATAGGGCAAAAGCCATAATTGAGTGACTTCGAAAAAGCGAATCTGTCTAATTTTCTTGGGGCCTTTCATTTTAAGATAAGGCATTGCCCCTCCCCCCCCCCCCCCTAGCTACGGCCATGATTCAGATAAAATTTGTAGAACTGTTGAAGAAACACCAAACATTCTCTAACTTTATCTAAATGCAAATTTTAAACTGTATTACAATTTATGCGTTCTTGCTCCATCGTTTGGCTGACATATTAAAAATGTAGGATTCCCTTTATAATTTTCTACTACAGCTCTCTTCAAATTATCGACTTGATCTTTCTTTACCTGAAAATAATATTATAATAATGACAGTGTTAATATTTTGAACATTTAATTCATTTGTCCTTTTATTTTCATAATAAGGGCATGTTATTTAAATATTCCTGTTCACAGCTTAGTAGGTCATTTTTTTTATGCAACTTAGAATGGCGTACAAGCTGACCTCATGAAAAGTGGTAACCGTCGTCTATAGACATGAGCAATACCATGGACATAACAGAGTATACTGTTTCGACCATTATACCTCCCATGCGTTGCCATTCCTGAGGACTCAGGTATTATTCCTCTGTACCCTGTAAATTCACTGCCATATCCCACCTTTCAAACCGAAACAGCCATGCAAACACAACTGCTTTATGGTAGAAACACGGATGGGACATAGTTGCCCAAGCAAACGATATAGATATGAGCAGTGTGCTCATACTCGTATTTATAAGCGACGGTTACCACTTTCCATCAGGTGGGCCGTCAGCTTGTTTGCTATTCTATGTTGCATAAAAAAATTACATTGGTAGTTTTTTTTAATGAATGATAATGAAATGGTAACCCCCCTGCACTATCGGTATATACTGGTGGGGCACCAGTGAAGGATGATAGGTGAGGATGAAACAGGTCAGTTAGCCCATCGTGACGAATTCAACAAAAATAGTTCACGATGATTTCCAGGGGGAACCACGTGGAGGTCGACCTAATAGGGCATATTGCTAGCAATGGGGCTGTCAAACTACATTGCTAACAATCCCTTTCCCCCCAATTACATTGGTATTGACTTAATCACTGGTTACCACAGCATGCATTAATTATTTCAGAAGAAGAAGAATATTTTATAACTTAACTAAATGTTTAGCTAAAATAACTATTTTAGTTGAACTACATAGAAATAAGACGTGCCGAAATATATATTATATTTGTATATATGTAAAAAGAAATTAATATCAATTCTGTTAACTGTGTATTAAATTTAATTTACGCAATGTACTTGGAAAAGCAAACTGATTGCTCGCCAAATGGGAAATGGTAAAAGTCACCATATAATGCGAACAAAATATGAAACATACTGTGCCGCACTCTTTGAGCTTTCCCGCCCTTGACGACACGAATGTCCGTCCAATGTCAGAGATTGTACTAAATACCACCACTTCCCCCTAATTATCTATAAATTTTCCATCAAAAAAACACATTAGCGTTATGGGGCCATTACTCACCAAGGTTACGACACACCCTCCAAAGCCACCTCCTGTCATCCGTGCCCCCAGCACTCCTGGTACGTCCTTCATTATTTCAACGAGCTCATCCAATTCTGGACAAGACACCTCCATCAATTTGCTTAGAGAATAATGCGATTGGAAGAATAATTTGCCAACCTGTAAAAGGAAAAAATACGTAACGACAAGCAAATTCTGAGTTACTTTAAAATCGCTATTATTGTATACTATCTGCATCCCGCGGCTTTACCCGCGTGAATCAATATATAAAATATCCTATGTACTAAGGTATATTGTAAATTAATATATTATAAGTAAATGTGTTAAAATATTTTCGTCTGGGTGACGTCCAACTAAAGACACCTGCACATTTCAGAAGTTTTTATGACAAATCGTTTGGGTACTATGCAAGCTGTTCGACTATGGAATAGTCTACCAACTTCTTTACAAACTAAACAGTACCTACTAAGTTTTAAAACAAAAATTAAGATATTCTTAATATATATATTAATGTATTTATATATACATGTATTTATTTATTTAAATGTATATATGGATTTGTTTAAATTGTATCAGTAACTTAAAATGTACATTTATATATTCACATTATTGTAATTATACATATATTTGAATGTATTAAAAAAAAACGAACAGACTTTCGTGCCTCCAGTCTTCTTCGTCCAAAGGTTGCCTGGAAAAGATCGCTCTTAGCCATAAGGCCGCCCGTTGTTTTGTCAGTGTAAACAAAAAAATAAAACCCAATTTATAACCAATTTCCTTCATTCCATTTCTGAAATTGTTTAAAAATAATATGTTTGTGATACATGTACAATATTGTTCTGCAACCACTTAACCGACTTTTGTTTGTGAATATACCATATATCCATCTTGTAAGTCTTGTAGGATAGTTCTAAACCAAATTTTTGATATAAATATAATCTTATTTTTTTTTTTTGTATATGTACTCATTGTAGCTAGTATAATTTGTGCGTTGTAAGTAATGCAAATAAATTATATATCCATTTATCAAATAAATAAATAAATATAGATTATTTATATAGAAATCAAAATTATTAATTAAAGATTGTGTCCCACAAAAAAACCGACTTCAAGTGCTAATATACCAATCTAAAAACTAAACTATTGAACAGATTCTGTTAAAATTTCTGTAAAACTGTAAGAATATTCTTTCAGACAAAAAAATAATTGTCCAAAAATGTTTACAATAAAAAATACAATCGAATTGAGAGTCTCGTTCTTTTTGAAATCAGTTGAAAATCACATATCACTATCGAGTTATGAGGTAACAAATATAAAAAAATACAACCAAATTGAAAAGCGCCTTATTTTTAGAGTAGTTCGTTATTATTATATTAACTTTCACGATGACTTATAGAGCCATTACGGCACCGAGAAATGACAAGATAATAAAACAAACTTCCCCATTAATAAAGAAATAGTATCAAATCAAGTGTGTTTGATAAAAATTGTGTGGGCGAAAGTTATATCTTGGCCCCCCGAGATTTTTCCGCCACTCATTATCCTTATTAAATGCCCTTTAATTTAAACCCTGAATTAGATACTATAGGTAAGAAGTACCTTTTTTATACAACTTAGAATGGCAAACAAACTGATGGTCCATCTAATGGAAACTGGTAACTGTCGCCTATAGACATGAGCAATACCACGGACATAACAGAGTATACTGTTTCGCCCACGATACCCCCCATGCGTTGCCATTCCTGAGGACTCAGGTGTTATTTCTCTGTATCCTGTAAATTCACTGCTTTATCCCACCCTTCAAACCGAAACACAACCATGCAAACACAACTGCTTCACGGTTAAAACACTAATGGGACAGATGTACTTTTGTACAAAGTCTCTCTTTTATAACAATTTATTTACAAGAGAGAGACTTTGTATACACGACTTTTCTACAAAGTCTCCCTCTGGTAAATAACCTACATACCAGGGGGCCTACCACGAAATGAAATTCCGAATTTTCGGATTCAATTTCGTATTTTTGTTCATATCAAGATCGGCCCAGTAAAAGGAGTTTAACATTTCGTTCGTCATAAATCCTACAATAAAAGACCGATATTTTAATTGATTTGATTGATTGGCTCCAAAATTTCGGAAAATATTTCATGTAAGGCCCTCAGATTTTTAACACGTCGTAACATCAGCAATAAAAATCATGTATGTGCTATTTACCTATAATCGTGTTGCGAATTTATTTATTAAAAACTTATGATTTATTTCACCGTTGGTACGGTTGACCCCTTTACATTTATTTGATTGAACAATATGGGACTGTTCTGTAATGAGGAAGGATGGTCGCAATACCATACGGCATTAAACTTACCACTTGAACACATTTTACTGTACACTAGTTGATGAAATAAATAAATACATTTAATACTTACATTGTTTCTAATTGTCATTATTAATGTATGTTTTAGTTTAATAAAGAATAAAATATATAAATATATATAAACGATTTCTTTTTTAAAAGCACTGAAGTGGCAAATAAGCAAACGGCCCACCTGATGGCAAGCGGTTACCGTAGCCTATGAACGCCTGCAATACCAGGACAATTACGCGAGCATTGCGGACCCTGAAAAATCCTCTTTACCCCATTTTTGAAGAACCCTATGCTGTAGTCTCTTGAAAAAACTACATCAGGGAGCTCATTCCATAACCTGAGCGTTCGTGAGAGAATACATCTCTGAAACCGCGCTATACGCGCCCATCTAGGCTCTAAGTTATGGTGGCAAACTCGATGTCGATGGCGAGCTGTACGATAGTAGAAACTGGGCACGGGCATCATAGATAGATAGATAGATACTCTTTATTGTTTCCTCCAAAAAGTAAACTTATTATAAATATAAACAATTACAAGTACTTATTAAGTACTTAACGTTAAAAGCGATTTCTTCCAGGCAACCTTTGATAGAGAGGATGGATGGAGAGGAGTAATTATAAACAGTTTGATCGGAGGAACGATGAAATTCTATTATTTCTAAAATATAGAGATGTGATACATGTAATAATGTAAATATATATCCCTACTTATGATATATACTATTATATACATACACACATATAAATACTGCTCACATGTATACGAATATACATATTGAATCAAATTATGAGTACAAGTACTGAACAATTTTATATTTGGTAATATATATATATATATATTGATGTACCAACTCACCCGATCCAAGTCGTTCCGACGTAAACTCTCAGCAACTTCGCTGGTACGGTAGATTTCTTCGATGACATGCTGCGCTCTCATTATAACTAACTTATTACAGTTGAGACGTTTTAATTCTGAAGCAAAAACAAACACAATTTAATTATAAATAAGTAAATTATTTATTCCACTCGCTCTTATTCACTCACACTGTATATTGTAAAATTATTTGTTAAATACAAATAAAGTGACAACCCTCCTAACCTATACGGAATTTGAATGAATTAATGATTGAATAAATGAATATTGAATGAAAGAATGAATATTGAATGAATTATTTAATATCGATAAATGAATGTTGAATGAATGAATGAATATTGAATGAATGAATTATTATTAATGAATGAATGTTGAATGAATGAATTAATATTGAATGAATATTGAATGAGTGAATTAATATTGATAAATGAATATTGAATAAATGAATTAATATTGATGAATGAATGTTGAATGATAGAATGAATTAATATTCATGAAAGAATGTTGAATGAATGAGCATTGAATGAACGCATGAATATTGAATAAATATTTATTTACAAGAAACGTGGTATGTAGTATATACATAAATGTTATATTATATTGGCCGTATGGTCGCAGCATAAAATATAATATACTCCTTCCTTCATGTGAGTATCGTAAGAGGTAACTAAGAGTACTTAATGGACGAAAGATAAGAAGCAGTGTCTCTAAAACATCACCATAGCGTAATTGCGGTTGACAAACGGCCTGCCAAGCATGGCAACTACTGGCAAAACCCCTTTATAGAACGTACGTTCAGTCAGTCAATGGCTGATATGATGATGATGATGATGATGATGATGGTGATGGTAATTATGATTGTTATAAAAATACACATAAGAATTATTGATCCTTACACCAATCAGTACAACAACACAAATTATCATATAAATTGCTTTAATACTCGTTATGCAAATATTTGCCCTACATGCTAAGTTTTATATATTTTACTTAAAATTCTATCATGTTTTTCTGATTACATAACCACCGAAAAATGTTTTCATATTTATTTATAAACTATTAGCTTTTATCCACAACTTGATTTACGTAACTACGACGAAGTCGCGGGAACGTAGACAGAGTTTATTAGCCGAGATAAATTGCCCAGTATTACAAGTAGCCTTATTATGCTCTTCTTTGTCCTAAATAGTATATTTATATCATATTTTATAACGATTGGTTAAATCATTAAGAAGCCATAAGGTAACAAACTAACTCTGAAATTTAATTTTAACTCAAAGTATAATTTAATTGAAAACTATGTTATATTATGTTATAGTAACTAAATATATTTAAAAAAAAAGACCTTTAAATGTTTTTAATTAATAAACAAAAAATTGGCATACCTGATAGGTATGTAGCGGAATATTTATTTATAATCATAATAATAAAACTTTATTATATATGTGTGTGCGTAACGTGTATATATATATATATATATATATATATATATATATATATATATATATATATATATATATATATATATATATATATATATATATATATATATATATATCACGCCTGTCTCCCATTAGGGTAGACAGAAACAATGGAACACCAAATGCTTTGATTCAAACAAACCTCTTTCGCTTCTTCCACATTCATCAATCTTTTCAATCAATCGCCGGTTACGGGTACTTTTATACATAAATAATGAACTGAAATTCAATTTAAATTCAATTAGAGTACTTATAGATACTCTTGAGAAAACCCATAGTGCGCTCTACGTGCTCATTCGTTTCTTAGATTTCAATTCATATTTTTTTTTCCATATCTATTTTATTCTATAATAAATTTCCTCGGCGGACGTGCTCAAAGCCATCAAAAAATACTTAGCGTGGCTATGAATGAAAACTGAAGAAGTTTGTTCACAAAATTGTAATTGAATTGAGAAATACAATTTCTCTTTGCTTTATTAGCATAACGGTACCCTTTCCATATATATACTACTAGCGACCCGCCCCGGCTTCGCACGGGTGCAATGCCCCACCACTATGTCCCTGCATTGTAAATCTGTAATATCTTCAGTAAATATTCATTTAAATTACATGCTGTAATATCTAATGCCGTATTGATCTATATTAAATGAACAATATATTTAAAATTTACTTAATTGGATAAAAATTAATGGTTTTTTATAAATTAAATATTGGTTTTTATAATTAAATATATTGGTTTTGATAACCCAAAATGGGTTATCCTTAAAAGATAGTCTATCGCGGACTTTTTTGTTGACCTTTTTAAGGTATACAACACTGTAGTACATTGTTTTGATTTATCTCGTAGGGTTCAGCCAACGTTTGCAATGTAAGCGCAAAAAATGTGTTTATTTACGACATCACATTAGAAACCTCTAAATTTATCAGTGTTTCTCTACTATATTATGCATGTATTATACATGTAAACCTTCCTCTTGAATCACTCTATCTATTAAAAAAACCCGCTTTAACCCTTAAATACCTAATGTTTCTAATTTAATACCGGGTTTATAAATGGCATTGGGCGCCTACAATCGATTTTATTTTAATATTTGGCTGTTTACATGTAACCAAATGGTTTTTTTTTTTAAATAAATATATAAAAATATCGTTTTGATTTTTTTTACTATTTTTCCCCATTAGTAAACACAGTAAAGGGTATAAAAAGGTAGGCACTTATATATTTTTTTAATTTGATTTAAATAATCAGGCTTTTAAGGGTTAAAATCCGTTGCGTAGTTTTAAATATTATTAATTAATATAATAATATTAAGCTACATAGGGACGGACAGACAGCGACAGCGACTTTGTTTTATACTACGTGTATGTAGTAATGATGCTAGTTACTTGTTAACTTTTCTGTATGGTTATCATCGTAGCCCATCTATCGTCCACTGCTGAACATAACTCCGTCATGTTACGACCCCGCATCACTTACATTTATAAATTATGATACATTTAATCCCAACTCCCGAGGGAAAAGGGATTGTTAGTAATGGGATCAAATAGCCATATTACTAGCAATATACCCTGTCAGGTCGGCTTCCACGTGGTTCCCCCTGGAAACCATCGTGACTAATTCTAGTTTAGTTCGTCAGGATGGGCTAACTGACCTACTTTCATCTTCATCTGTCATCCCTCACTGGTGCCCCGCCAGTGTATACCAATAGCGCAGACGGGGTTACCATACCATTATCAACCATTAAAAAAATCCCAACATTTTATACCTCCGGGAGGTATAAAATGTTTTCGTATTTAACCAAACTTTGTAAATTACCTAAAAAAGATAATAAAATTAAGGAAAAGGTGAATTGTCTAGAATGTTTTTTTTTTCTAATAGTTGAGTCTTAAACCGTGTAACCATGCTGAAAAATTATTTATTTTAATAATACTATTGCTGATTTAATATTGTTTTTAATATTAAATCAAAAACAGTATTGTTTTTTATTTTTTATTTATATTGTGGTTGATGTCCCATGCATAACATGTCAGGGGTTCATTACCGTCGTCATGTTAGGACGTTAGCTGTCCACTGCTGAACATAAGCCTCCCCCTTGGGGGGTTTTGCTAGTAGTCGCCACGCTTGACAGGCGGATTGGCAACCGCAGTCTAGCCCTAGAAATGTTTTAAGAGCGACGCTGCTGCCCATCCCTCACCCTCCCTTAGTCGCCACTTACGACACCCACGGGAAAGGAGGGGTGGCCCGTTCTATGCTGGGACCAGGCGGCCAGTTATTATTTAACATTAATATTTAATAAATTATATCGCAAACTAAATGAACTACTTATATACAAGTTTACTGAAAGCCGAATAGTTCCAAATTTAATAGAAAAAAAAATATATTTTGTGAATCCCACTTGACATTATTTTTACCTCCTTAGAGGAAACTAAGAGATTTTTCTGAGATAAAGGCGGAATTGGTTTTATTTATTTATGAAATATTAAATAAAGTATATATATAACGTTGTTCGTTACTACACGTGGGCTGTCATGTTATTATAACCTCCTTATCCTATCAATCTCGTAAACACGGTAAGATTTGTGTATGTAGGTATACGTAACAAATACTAAAGGAAATATATTATAATGTAAAATCTATTTTGAGTGTAATGTTATCAGAAAAGGATAAAGGAAGCTGTTTACAATTAAATAAATAAATAAAATGTTTTTTTTTTATACAACTTAGAATGGCAAACAAGCTGACGGCCCATCTGATGGAAAGTGGTAACCGTCGCCTATAGACATGAGCAGTACCATGGACAAAATATACTGTTTCGCCCACAATACAATGCTCGTCAGGTACGCGGTGTATACCTATCTTAACAATAGGATTGGTTATTTTCCTTAATCTTTCACGAAATTCTTTATTTTTACGTAAAATATCAAAGAAATTATTTACCTTTTACTATATACTTATATATATATATATATATATATATATATATATATATATATTTATATTTATATTTATACCTATCGGCCTTTTCAATTGTAAAGATATTTTATTTATTTATTTTTAACTATAACATTTAAGTCGATTGGTACACATGTATGACTGTAACTATTAATGTACTGTCAGTTTTCTCATATTGGGTTTGCTGGAAGAAATCTCTATTGGAGATAAGCTCGCCTTTGTGCACTATTATGTTTGTTTTTACATTTCAATAAACTTTTGTGTACAATAAAGAATATCAAATATATATTATTATTTTTAAAATACTTATACTGAAAGGTAAGGTTTATAAAAAAAGTTATATAAAAGGTGTACTTACCCTCCAGATCCTCTATCTTGGCGCCCCTCAGAGAAGGCAGACCGAGCTTGTCGGCGGCTTCCTGGCACTGTGCCCTGCGCTGTGGGTATTCGCTGCCAGTCAGCTCGTGTTTCACATTGGAGTTAGTGACTAAGATGACGTGATCACCCAAATCCAGTGGTATCTGGGTTGCTTGCAGTGACCTATTAATGTAATATCATAATTTTTTTTTCTACAACTTAGAATGGCAAACAAGCTGACGACCCACCTGACGGAAAGTGGTAACCGTCGCCTATAGATATAAGCAGTACCATGGACATAACAGAGTATACTATTTCGCCCATGATACCCCCCATGCATTACCATTCCTGAGGACTCAGATATTATTCCTCTGTACCCTGTAAATTCACGCCATATCTCACCCTTCAAACCGAAACACAGCCATGCAAACACAACTGCTTTACGGTTGAAACACGAATCGGACAGAGGTACCCAAGCAAACGACTTTTGTACAAAGTCTCTCTCTGGAATTTTACGAAATTGACGAAATAGCAGCTTAGTATACCGCCTTGGGAGGGAAAGAGATTGTTAATAATAAGTATTATTTATTTAAAGAGCCAGGTCAGATCAGTGTCAGGTCGACATGCACGTGGTTACCCCTCAAAAAGCATTCGGAAGCTATTGTAAGCAATTATTGTCATTAATATTTATATGAAAAGATACTATTTTACTTATTATACTCTATATATTCTTTATTGCACTTGTAAATTACATTGTTAATGCATTTATAAATATTGTGAGCAAGGGTGGACTTATCTCTGACAGAGATCTCTTCCAGTCAACCTAATACAGTTGAAAAGCGTGTCGTTAGCGGACAGCTTAAGTGCACGGACAACTTAAGTGCACGAACAACTATTAACACTCAAAATATGAATAACTAATAACACTAATCAATACATAAACAAATAGACAGTTAAATAAATTTATAAATATATAATACAAAAATTGTTCTACAAAATTAGCTTTTTTTTTTTAATTAAAGCCACAGACAACGGTCGAAACTGAAAAATGTGACGCAATAATGAGTAAAATGCGTGATTAAATAAAAACATCAAAGCAGATTTCCCTGTAGAGTTCACTAAATGGATTATAACGTCATTTTGTTAAGAGCCCACGTAATAAATAGCGACAAGAAAATATTTTGGCCTAGCACTCTACGATCTAGGACTACGACTCTATTCTCTGTGGCTTTAACTTTTTTTTCTCTCAGATTTTTTCACTTTTGCACAATCACCTCAGCATAATACTGGAGAATTGGGGGGAAGGGACTGTTAGTAATGACGACTAAGAGTTCTATTGCTAGCAACATACCCAATCAGGTCGACCTCCCCGTGGTCCCCCCTGGAAACCATCGCGCTGATATCCAAATGTATTCATCACGATGGGCTAATTGACCTGCCTTTGTTTCATCCTCACCAATCATCCCTCACTGGTGCCCCACCAGCGTATACTGTTAGCGCAGGCGGGGTTACCATTCCATACTCATCCAATAAAAAAAAATACCGGACAATTGGGTGACAGTGCTAATTTTCAGACATTAATTTTGATAATTTCACATAATTATCGTTTTAAAGACATTCACAAATTGAATTTATAATAATTTTGAATCAAATCTATTAGAAATTAAATTCATATTGGTCGTGAGAATAAAAAATTCACTGTTATATCAAATTAAAACTTTAATTTTAAAAACAAGTTAAGAGAAATGGCACTCAGAATCGACTCCAATATATGATCAATTAATTAATAGATATGATATTTGGTTTTTGTTTGTAACGCATAAACAAATAATAATATATTTTAAAAATTCTTTCACCTATAGAAAGCTGTATTATCTACTAATAATACAGGATAAAAGGTTCTTGAGTTGCGACCGCGTATAAGCAAGCGCTATGTAAGACAATCCCTCCACTAGATGGATTGCAGAAGTCAATCGATGCAGGTCGCTCTGGACCGTTTGTTTTGGCATTCTATGGGGGAGACCTATGTCCAGCAGTGGACAGGCTAATATATTGATGACGAATATAGAGTGAATTTAGTTTTAAAAAATTCTATATATCTAGCCATGCAAAACCGGGACGCGGTGCTAGTCAGAAGATATAATTAAAGCTTACTTACTGACAGTCAATGAGGAGGGCGTGGTTTTTCTTGCCCATTGCAACTATGTACTGGTCCATGATACCACAAGGTACACCGGGGAACTCGTGCTCCGCCTTCTGACATAACTTCGCCTTTTGGATAGGACTGCAATTTTTTCATATTATTATTACTAGTGTTTTTTTTTTTATTTTTCAATAGGTGAAGATGGAATAGTAAACCCGCCTGCGCTATTGGTATACGCTGGCAAAGCACCAGTGAAGGGTGACAGGTGAGGATGAAGACAGGTCAGTTGGCCCATAGTGACCAATTGAACAAGAATTAACCACTATAGTTTCCAGGGTGAACCGCGTGGAGGTCGACCTGATAGGGTGTATTGCTAGCAATGGGACTGTTAAATCCCATTACTAACAATCCCTTTCCCCCTATTATTACTAGTTGTTTTCTGCGGTTTGCCCGCGTTTATCTTCACTTATAAAAATAAAAGACGGTTTGTTTGTCACTTTATTGCGCCTTAACGGCTTAACCGATCAATATGAAATTTGGTACACACATAATATATGGGATGGAGAGGGATATAGACTATTTTAACACGGTCAGTAAACATCCCGATCACGTGGACGAAGTCGCAGGCAAAAGTTAATATATAGGTATCTTGTGTTAAATTAGGATGTAACCCAAATTTAAATTAATACATTAACATTATGAATAAATATTTATTTTAAAGTTAATCATACTTACTCAATTTTATAACCAGTGAGAGCTTCTAAAAAAGTGAACACAGCGACCTCTAGGGCGGCACTGCTCGACAAACCAGCTCCTACAGGCACATCTGACACTATCACCGCGTCGAACCCTTTGACTGGATCTGATAAAAACATTTTTTTTACCTTATTTACTTGCTTTTTTTTTGTTGGGTTTTCTAATATCGTGTTTCTACCGCGGATTGGCTGTGCTTGTATAATTGTGTCTTAATTTTTGGATGGGATATTACAATAAAATTAAAAAAAATAGAATTCGAAAACATAGCATCCTAGCCCTCGATGTTATCCTTAGGCCTGTATCAGTTGTCAAACCAAAGTACGGCCATACAAACAGAAACGAATGGAACAATGGTATTACAGACGATTTTAACCGACTTCGAAAAAGAGGTTCCCAATTCATCGAAATCCTTAATATTTTTAAGTATGTTTCAGATTACTTGAAGACGCCTGCACTGATTCGAAAAATTCTTTTTCTACTAAAAGGGTATACACTCAGATTGGTCCCATAGATTTTTTTTCAAAATCAATCCTTTAATTTAATTTTTAAATCAAAATAACTTGATTATTTTTCAATAAAAATATTGGATTTTACATTTTTGATTTTGATATTAAAGTCGCTTTTTTTGTGGAACCCAATCGTCATTATCCAAAATCTTCCTGTGGTAAAAATATTCAATATTAATATTATGCTAAGATTAAAAAAGGCATAAGAATAAGAAATTTATTCTTATGATATACATAGTTATAAATAACCCGTCAAATATTAAACGGTTACAAGGAAACCCACAATACAACACACGAATTGTGTTACGAATGCATTTTTCCTTATGAGGAATTCCTTTCATATTTTAGGAATTTCTTTCCTCGTTCCCTTCCCCTTATGCATAATTTCCCTTGAGGCTCTCACAACTAGCATACAAGCTGTATATCAAATATTTTATAGATCTATTTCTATTTACTAATCGACAACCGTTGCCTTACCGTTATTTTCCATTGGAAATTTTAAATTATAAAAAAAAAAACTAGCTATCTGGGTGGATAGCTAGTGAATAGCTAGGCTTCATACAAAAAGAAATTTTTCATTTTTCCGTACGATCTTCCAAACATTTTGTTTCATACACAACAAAAAAAAATAACCAAATAAGTGCAGTCGTTCTTAAGTGATATTCTTAAATACTTTCGCAATTGTTTTTTGTTTACATAGATAAAGTAATGTGCTCATACTTTTTGCAATTGTTTTTTTTCTATATAGTTTATTTATATGTTCACGACTATTATAGTCGTTGTAATAGTGCAGTCCAAGGTACTTTGACCGTTGCCGTTGAAGTGAACAGAACATCAGACATGTCTACTTTTCACCGTGCATGCTAAAATCCAATATGGCAAAAAGCGAACTACCGCCGCCACTCGAATTAATTTTGTTTTTTATAGGTGTTTTCCATAGTACGTTATCTAAAGCAATTTTATATTTTCTATTTAATTTTTAAGACTACAAACATCATTGACTTCTTCTTCTTTTCATTTAAGAGTTTCCTCTTGTCGGTGCAACTAATTCATGCATCTTCCTTCAGCCAGCTCTATCCCAGGCCATATCCTTGACCTCCCTATAGCACATGACACCTAGTGTTTCTTTTATCTGTCCCATGTAATTGTTCCTCAGCTTAATTTTAGATGGAATGGTCAAAGATGTAGACCGAGGAATAACTACATCTTTGACCATTCCATCTAAAATTAAGATTATGTACATACTTAATGGCCGTGCAGTCCCGGCATAGAATAGGCCACACCTTCCCTTTGCGTGAGTGCTGTAAGAGGCCACTAAAGAAACTAAATGATCGAGGATAAATGGGCAGCAGCGTCCCTCTTAAAACATCTCCAAAGGGTAATTGCGGTTGCCAATCTGCCTGCCAAGCGTGGCAACTACTGGCGAAACACCCCAAGTGGGAGACTTGCGTTCAGTAGTAGAGAGTTATCCCGCGGCTCCGCCCGAGTGCATCAGTACATACAGTATCATATGTGCTAAGTTAAGATATAGCCTATCCATGTACCAAATTTCATACAAATCCGTTTAGTAGATTTCACGTGAGATAGTAACACGTCATCCATCCATCCATTTATCTTGACAAATTTTCGCATTTATAATATCAATAGAATACATACCAGGAAAATTAGCAATGGTGCCTTTAACATAATTTGACCAGCTCGGTAGTCCTGGCTTGAGCTCAGCGACCTCGGTCGAAGGGAATGAGATCTGTGAATCTTTATTTCCCATAACTGAGAGAACATTACATGAGTCTGTGTTATTATAACCTCCCACTATGATCGTCTCGAATGGAAGGGCCTGTGGAAAAAATACCATGGATTAATTGTATTAAAGAAAATCACTGGAGTTCTCAAACTAGGTTTAAAGATGCGGTTTTTTATATTACTATGGTGGCAAACAAGCATAAAGCTTGTCTTATGGTAAATGAAATTACCGTAGCATATAGACGCCTGTGACACCAAGGATGTCACGCGCTTGTTGTTAACCGTTAAAAAACCTTAATACGCTCTTTTTAAAGAACCCCATGTCGTAGTCTCTAGGGAAAGCCTCGGCAGGAAGATCATTCCACAACTTAAGTGTTTTTCACTGTTGTGTTTCTGAACAAACATACCGATCACCTGATCCGCAAGCTAGGATTCCCTGTCTTATGAGAAACCAGACACCAAAGAGTGGTGGTGAAGGATGGGATATGGCAGTGAATTTACAATGTACAGAATAATAACTGAGTCCCCAGGAATGGCAACGCATGGGGCGTATTATGTGCGAAACAGTATACTCTGTTATGTCCATGGTACTGCTCATGTCTATAGGCGACGGTTATTACTTTCCATTAGGTGGGCCGTCAGCTAGTTTGCCATTCTAAGTTGCATAAAAAAAATAAAAAAGAACATCTAAAGACACTATAATATACCACGCCATCTAGCCAACTTTAAAAATAATTGAAAATAGGTTTATAAACTCTATTAAGAAGGCGAGTAGAGGAGTTATTAGTCAACAAAAAAAATATATAAAACATTACATTCACGACCAGAAAGAAAACATTTTCTTTATGTTTCTGCTACATTATTGGTATTCCACGAATGTTTACAATATCACATCGTGTTTGGTTCTTCAGTTTGTCATATCGTGAATCATTTGGGCCGACTCGAACATCCTTCACTCCGTTTTCGGTACATAAATCACCATACATCAAAGACTTTTATCGCGAACACATTCGTGTGAGTAGCTTAAACTTCCCACTGTTCGAACATAATATGTATTTTATATTTTATTTTTGTTTAACATTTTATAATTAATTTCTCGCAGTAAGCTTATTTTATGTTTTTTTTTTTTTTTTCATATTAATTATACTTATACTAGTTGACTCGGCAAACGTTGTTTTACCATATACATTATTTTTAGAACTATACATGAAAGTTTATCGTACTACAATTATTATATTGGATTGCCATCTTGCAACCCTATTGCAGCATATAAAAATCGCGATTAAAAAACAGGAGTTGAATGTAAAACGGTGAAAATTTGAGGTTGTATATATTTTTCAATGCTAAATCATAATAAAATAAAAATGGAAAAATAAGTCAAAAAATAAAAATTGTTTTTTTTGGGGAGGGTCACCCTTTCATTGAGAGGTATGAAAAATAGATGTTGGCCAATTCTCAGACCTACCCAATATGCACACAAAATTTCATAAAAATCGGTAAAGCCGTTTCGGGGGAAACAAACACCGTGACACGAGAATTTTATATATTAGATTATATATTAACCCTTTTATTCATAAAAACTAAAACCTTTTACAAACCTATTTTAAGTATTACACTCTTTTGTTACTTTCTTTCAGATTAGGAATTTGGCACAAATGAATGAATAAACAATTTTAGAATTTAGGACAAAACAGTTCAATAGCTAAAATAATTTTATAAGAGGTTTAAAGATTTATGAATTAGGAGGTTTTATGAACAAAAGTTTGTAAAAATGTTTGAATGTGTTTTAGTTACTCAATAACACTTAAATAGCTGAATTGAATGATTTAATTGTATTTTAGTATAAATTTATGTCCTTGGTGCCTATAATTTATATAGGCGACGGTTACCACTTTTCATCAGGGGCAAAAACTTGTTTGTCATTCTAAGTTGCATAAAAAAAATGAAATTATGAATTTCTATTGTGTGCGCCAAATAAATAAAATAAAATAAACGGATACAACTAAACGCCTAGTAACAGTACCAATATAGTTTTAAACCATAATCCTACATTTGTATACTTGGGACTTAAACTATAGCTATATATAGTATCTATATACTAATAACGCTAGCATAATTTTTTTTTTTTTTTTTCTGAATGTGTTTGCTGTTGGCCGTGTGTGGCCTTTACAGCTTCACCGGACGCGAATGCAGGGGCGAGTGCTGATGGCACTCCAAGCCCGCGAGAGGGGAGCGACAGAGGTGTCGACTCTTTCTTATGGACTGCGGTGTGTGTGTGCGCCTAAGGGCGCCAGAGTGGCTCGGCCTCGGCTTAGGCCACCGCACTTCGACCCCCGTCGAGGGACGGCGAAGGGTCGGTACGTCTGGGTGGGTGAGATTGCGACGCGGTTGTTATGCGCTCGGGCGCAAACCTGATCGCGCGCGGACCGTGTGTCGCGAGGGTTCTTCGCCCCCGCCGGCGGGGGCGGTGTGTGCGATGTGTGGGTGTGTTTGTAGGGGCTCTTGTCGAGGGTTCCGCGGTAGGTAGGGAGGGAGACGCGTTTGCCGTCGTAGTTGGATCATCGGGGTCCAAGAGTGCGTGCCTCGGGCGACGACGTTTTGGAGCGACGTTCTCTATGGGGGGTGTGTATTTGACCGCTCTTACTATGAGCGGATTTGAATGGGACTCGGCTGAGGCGAAGTAGCGTCGAGACGCTTGCTTCATGAATTGCCTTATAGTGGGTATTTTGAGGTCGCGGTGTAGATCCACGTTGCGCACGTACCACGGGGCGCCCGTGGCCCGTCGCAGAAATTTATTTTGCACCACCTGAAGGGGGTGAAGTAATGAAGGAAGGGCGTGGGCGAAGACGACACTAGCGTACGTCATCACCGGTCTTATACATGCTTTATAGAGCGTCAGCTTTGCGTTAAGCGACAATTGGCTGCGCTTGTTAATAAAGGGATGGAGGCGTCCCAGTATAAAATTGGCCAGGCCTCGGACGCGCTTAAGATGAGATGCGAAACTCAACTTGGAATCTAGTGTCACGCCTAGGTATTTGGCTTCGTTCGTCCAGGGGACGGGCGTGCCAAACAGCTGAATAGAGGCGGGAAGGGATGGTTTTCTTTTGGCCGTGAAAAGCACGGCGGCGCTTTTATCTGGATTGACTTCGATGCGCCATTTTCTGAACCAGTAGGCCAGCTCGTCCACCGCCCGTTGAAGCCTGTTGGCTGCACAGGCGGCCGACGTGCTGTCCACATATATGGCTGTATCATCAGCAAAGAGGGCGATTTGCACTCGGGGCTGACGCGGGATGTCGTTGGTGTACAACGAGAAGAGGGTGGGGGAGAGGACAGCGCCTTGAGGGACGCCGGCTCTAATCGGTCGTGCGCTGGAACGCACTCCATTGACGCGATAGCGATATGACCTATTGGACAAGAAGGCTCGTATGATGTGCACGAGCCTGTCTGGCACTCCCATCTTGTGCAGTTTGAAAATCAAGCCGCTGTGCCAGACTTTGTCAAAGGCCTTCGCTACGTCGAGAAACAGGGCACATGTGACCCCGTTGGATTTCAGGTGTCGGGCGTTGAGGACGTGTTCTACTACACGATGTACTTGATGAACAGCTGAGTGCTTGGCTCTAAAGCCGAACTGTTCCTCGATCAGGATGCCTTTGGACTGTAGCCAGTCTTTCAGGCGTGCGAGTATTAGCTTCTCATACAGCTTCCCCAGCGAGCTGAGGAGACTGATGGGGCGAAAACTGGTGGGAAGGGACTTATCTTTCCCAGGTTTGGGAAAGCCTACGACATCGGCTTCTTTCCAAGCATCTGGAAAGATGGCATTGGTAATTGCCGCATTGAAGATCGCTACTAGGAGTAGCAGAATGGTTTCTGGCAGACTCTTAAGGAGTCTGTTAGAGATACCGTCGGCACCGGGTGCCTTTCGGTTGGGAGTTCCTTTGATGAGTGTTCGCACCTCATCCAGTGTAACGGGGGGAGTGACTCTACTGGAGGGATCGACAGGATTCGCTCCACCTCGGATTCTACCTTCTCTAGATGATCAACGGGCACCGGAAGGGTGCTCGGCATGCATTGGGCCTCTAGGCTGTCTGCTAGGCATTCAGCCTTTTCTTCATCAAATATGGCCGGACTGTTGTTTGTTCGGACTAAGGGCGGAAGGTCGGAGTAACACTGGTCTGTTTTGAGGGTTTTGGCTACTCGCCAGTACGCGGTATGGCAGGGGGTGAGTTCTTTGGTGAACTTATCCCATCTGTCTCGCCGAAGTTCCGCTATGCGACTCTTTACTTCGCGCTGTAAAGCTCGCAGGCGGGTTCGGTTCTCTTCTGAGGGATAGCGGTCATACGCTCGTGTGGCTGCATTCTTAGTGCGCAGCAGAGCCCTTACATCATCAGGTAGGTTCCATCTACGGTCGCCCGTATCCGGAACCTCCCTGGAGCAGTCCTTGACTGCCGACTGCAGGTGCTCTGTTAGCGCGTCTATGGCTGTAGTCGTCTCCTCGATAGATTCGACTACGTCCGGGATGCGGTCCAGTACCGGAGAGTTAGTCGACTCGAGGACTTTCTCAAGCCGGCTCCAGTCCGTGACCGTTTTAAATTGAGGCGCCCCGTCTGCAGGTGGGCCTAGCGAGAATGTGACGGGGCGGTGGTCGGAGATGAGTTCGGCATGGACCTCCATAGAACTCAGCCTTAAGGCTACGTTCTTTAGTAGGGCCATGTCGAGGATGGAGGGCTGATGAGCAGTGTTTGCCGGATAGTGCGTGAAGTGCACTGGGGGAAGGATGTCGAAACCCATGGAAAGCGAAAGGCGTTCCAGGGTGAGACCGTTTGGGTTCGAATAAGCACAGCTCCAAAGGCTGTGCTTGCAATTTAGATCTCCGGCAATAATTACCGAATCCCCCAGGTCCATGAGAGCTTGGAGGTCGGCCCGGAGTAGCTTTTTGGAGGGAGAGAGATAGGCCGATGCTATATAGACCGGTCGATGGTCTGTCATCGCGAGGAGGCATATCGAGGCTTCCATGTTTACGAGCGGAGGCGTGTCGATCGGAATGCACTGAAGGGACCTTCGGTAATAAATTAACGTACCGCCGCCGCGACTGAT